GCGACCCGGTGAAGACGGCTCCTTACCAGCGAGACCTCGTCTCGCTGCCGACCGGCGGGGTCCTGGCCGAGGGGGGCCGGTGCCTCGGCGGTGCGGCTTTAAGTTTCTGGAAGGAGTGGCGACAGCATCTTTTGCGGCCCGGTGTCAGCCGGGAGGTAGTGCAGAAATTCAAGCCCCACGTCGACAGTCGACTACGTGCGAAGGGTACCTATGCCCAATTCGTGTTAGACCTCCAGGCCGCCGGTTTGGTGAACCTGAGAGGCCGCCTCGACGCGACCTTGGGAGTGTTCTTCGCGTGGAAGAGTGACGGCGTCAGGCAGAGGCTGATATTCGATACTAGGGGTAGCAACGAGTTTTTCAACTCGCCCGAGTATTCTCATTTGCCCACGGCTAGTGCATGGAACTCTTTGTATGTGCCAGATCAATGCGAGCTCTCTTTGTGCCAGGCAGACGTTGACAATGCATGCTATCGGATCGGCCTGCCCGCAGGGATTGAAGATTATTTTGTCCTCCCTCCTGTCTCTTGTCGTCATCTCGAGGCACTTTGCCCAGGCAGCTCCGGGGAGCTTCGCGGGGTTGGGGAGCTTTCGCCCGTCCTCCGCGTGTTACCCATGGGGTGGTCTTGGTCTTTATACTTCTGTCAGTGTATGGTAGAACAAGCTGTTCTTGACTCCGGCCTCCCCCCTCCAGAATTGTCCAGGATAGACGGGCAGCCGCCGGCCTCGAGGAAGGGCCTCTTGCTGCCGTGTATGTCGACGGGGTCGCTTTCCTCGGGACCAGCGAAAAGTGCTGCTCGGACGGATGCGCGTCCGCCGTCGAGCTCCTGGGATCTCGTGGTCTGGTTTGCAAAGGGATGGTCGGGGCGTCTGAACAGCAGTCTTTCACAGGCCTCACGTTCGAACGCAGCTCTGGAATCATTTCGCTTTCGACCCGGCGCTTGTGGAAAATTCGCCTGGGGCTCTTGGAGCTCTGCCGTCAGGGCTGGTGCACCGGGGTCCAGCTGCGCCGGGTTTTGGGCCATTTAACCTGGGCCTTCTTGCTGAAACGTGAGCTTTTGTCTATCCTCAGCAGCGCTTTCCGTTTTTGTGAAATGGCCGGGGAGCAGCGGTGGCGTCTCTGGAGTTGCGTGACTCGGGAGCTGCGGATCGCGGCAGCACTTGTGCCGTTCGCCGCTGTCGACACCAAGAGGCCGTTCGACCCGTGCGTGATGGCCTCCGACGCCTCCGGGGCCACCGAGTTCGACTTCGGGGGTTTCGGCGTCTGCGAGCGGGCCTGGGACTCGGAGGCAGTTCGAGCCGTGGCCAGCCGTGCGGAGAAGTGGAGGTGCTGCGTCGAGGATGCCATCTGCGCCCGGGAGCAGAGTCTCGGGCTGGTCCCTCAAGGCCCCTCCAAGCCTCGAATTTCCCAAGTGAGAGCCCGCCGTGGGGTCACCGACTTCTTCCACATCGATGGGGAGCAGATCGGGGATTTCGACGCCTGGTCCACCGTTTTGTTCGGCCGGTTCGCCTCGTCGGAGAATATCATGCGGGCGGAGGGGCGGGCCCTGGTGATGGGGGCCCGACACAAGCTACGAAACGTCAGCAGCTTCGGTCGCCGTCATCTGCTTCTGTGCGACAATATGTCTGTGGTCTTAGCTACGGGAAAGGGGCGTTCGACATCCCCACTGCTGAATCGAACATGTCAGGAGTTATTATGTCTTTCTATTCTCTCAAATACTTCATTCGTGGTCCGATGGATTGCATCAGAGTTGAACCCTGCAGACGACCCCTCTCGCAGCCTCTCGGCCCGCGCCAGCGCCTGGAGGCGCGACCCACGCGGGCCGGCGTTCCGCGATGCTCCGGCGGCCTGGGCCAGGCCTGGAGGCGCGGCCGGCGCGAGCCTTTCGGCCGGCGCTGCCTTCGATCGTGAGCTCGAGCGGACCATCGTGCAGCGGGCCCGCGGACAGCTTGCAGCTCCGCTCGGGCTTTGTGGGCTCGGCGACGGCCTCGATCCCGAGGCCCGCCCCGCTGGCCTGGCGCGGTGCGACGTCGAGCCCATCGGCGACAGCGGTGACCGCGGTGGTGGCCGTGCCAGCTCGTCCACCTCGTCCAGTCGCTCGGGCAGTCCGGGCTCAGGGAGCCGCCGCAGCTGCTGCAGTTCGCGGCGGACGGACCGCGCGGGCCAAGAGGACGGCGCGAGCCGCCGCTCTGCAGGCTCGTCGTGCGGCCCATCGGCGCCGCCTTCTGCCCGCAGCCTCCAGGGCTGCGGCAGAGGGCCTGACGTTCCTGCAGACCTCTCGAGCGGGGCACGGGACACAGCTGCAGCACCAGCGGGCCTACACCGACTTCCTGGACTGGAGCCGGGGGGAGAAGCTGAGGATCAGCACCGTGGCCGACTTAGACCGGGCCCTCGCCAGCTATCTGGATCACTTGTTCTTCGACGGTTGGAATCGGGACCAGGGCGAGGAGACCTTGGCTGCTGTCCTTGTCTTTCACCCGAGCCAGGGCTTGAAGCGGCCAGGGGCCCTGGAGGGCAGCCGAGCCGCACTCAAGGGCTTCAAGAAGATGGCCCCTGGCAAGACCCGCAGAC